ACAATGTTGTCGCAGTTACTTTTAATCCGTAGTCTCTAATCCATATTGCGTAAATAAAAAGCATATCCAAAATATTTAGTACTTTTTCGAATAAAAATAATGAATTGTAATTACATAATTACAATCTTACTAGAGGATTATATTATAATTATCCCAACAAATATAATTATTTTATCAAAATTAAGATTACGCAAATAATTTGTTCTTTCAACTACCAAAGCCATAATGAAATTCAGTAATTTGGTCTACAGCTTTAATCATGTTGACACATAGTTTCAGTACGTAAGTTAACGCGATTGTAATTTACTTATCAGTTACTCAACACGTATATCTACGTGTAAATGTAGAATCGGGCTTCTTCACGAGCATGTCCGATCAAAGTCTTTCCATCACCACTTAAGCAACGGTATATCGCGGCCGACTGCGAACGTCCATTTACTACTTACCGAAGGCGTACCGCGCGTCCGACCATACATTGTGCCCTTCCACTATTTAATCACGACAAATCCATTAGGAAGTACCGTGTACTTCCGTTGGACTGTCCATTGACTAGCTATATCGGCAGGCCGCAATGACGGATTCATCATGCTAGATCATTCACGATGAACGGGTACTTATTAGCGTTATTCCCGGTTAATGCGATTATCTGTTGATCCGTGGTGAATTGCTGAATGCTGATTAAAAGATTATGCCTCGCTCATATTATCGACTAATCGTACACGTTCACGTATCGCCAAGGGAATCATTATACTACAGGATACACGTAATTCTCTAATATTGCGGAATATGCTGCCCAGCGTGTACCTCTCTTACGATAATAACTTGAGCACAAACTTCGCTCATTAGATACGAGAAATTCGATAAATTTCCATGATTTTTTTGTACACGGACAGAAAAGTACGTAGTATTTGCGACCATAATTGCACAGTAAAATAATTATAGTCAGGAATATCATTTTTATAGTAATTATTGCTATAATATTAGTAATAGCGACCATATAGACACAGTGATGCCTACTATTTAAAAAATTTACTGTAAAATATAAGCTTTTAACTATTATTCTGTTAAAATATCTAAGTAATGAGTAGTAAACTAGTTAATTATTTTTATATAGTAAATACAATTACAATAATAGTAAATTTAACTACATTTCTATCATAATTGACGTTGCGCATACAATTACTTCTTTGCATGATACACAAATTCTTAATAATATACAATGCTCAACCACAAACTGCGCGCACAAAGCGCGCGTTTTGTCATTTCTAGTATAATAAAAAGCGGGGAATGTTACTTCCAATATAAATACGATTATTACTATTACATATAGTTATCTGAAATTTTACTTGTGGTTGTTATTGCAATATTTATAATACACCTTACCAAATTAAAAGCTCGTTTTGGTTTATGACAACCACATCATAGGTTACATGGACCAATATTGTGTCTATGAGAACTATAATACATAAAATACATTGTTAGGTCAACCGTAACTTACGTAACTGGAAGAATTATAAAAATGTAGTTGGCTCCTAAAATGACTATGAATTATAATGAAATTGTGGTAACTGCAACCGTTTTTTTCTATCAGTGTACTGTGAGATTTGTAAAATAAAAAGAAACATGATCGCATCGCCGCAATACATTAACTTTTATTTGAAATATTTCGTTGATTAACAAACCTCATAATTTTGGACAGGCGTCTAAATTCGTTTATCTATTCTATTCTAAAAAGTAACGAACGTCGAACGTTCCCAGATCTATTTTCGCACATGTGACACGCCGAGAGCTTCGATATCTGAGTTGAATTTCTTCCAGACTATCACGAGGCAAGTTCGTTTTAAACGTTACTCCGGGGAGGCATTCACCGCCGCCGGTCGGAACGCACGGTCGCCTGAGGCGATAAGAAATAAAAATTATCATCATATGTGGATACCGCCGTGAAATGGCCTGTCACAGGAGCACTTCGTCTTTGCATTATTATTTCTTTTACTACGCTGCGGGCAGCTTTTATCGTCGACCTTTCCATAACACTTTGTTTCCCTGTATACGGCGCGATTTCCGCACCGCAACCGTTTTTCCGTACAGACGCGTGTCGTTTCCTCAGTTTATCGGCATTTGGTCGCCGAAACAATGGTTTCGAGATCGTTCCAACAATATTAGATCATAAACTCAAGTCTAGTTTCGCAAGTAAGTCCTCTTTCACGTGCATGTAGAAGGAAAGCGGAAACGTACATCTTTCATAGAAATAATAGTTAATACGTACATTGAAAAATAACCTTTCGCTACCGTAACTAATCATGGTTTGCTAAAAATATTTTGCTGCCAAAACTATAAATGTTTAAACTACAGCAATGATGTCGTACCTAATACAATAGGCATAGTAGGAAAATATTTATAGCTATCCCAACTAAATATCAGTTGTCCATATTTCGCAATTGAAATTTAGTTGCCACGAACAGTTTTTAGCTACGACAGCTACATTGTTCGTTTCATGTAAAATAAAAAGTAATTGTACTTATCGTACAATTTTCTTTAACGCAGATGGATATAATATTAACATACATTCGTTTATTTTATGCGATTGCTTATTTACAATTTCAATATTGTAAATCTGACGTAACAGTTTACGTAATATATCGTCGTCAATTTAAATAAGTATCTTCATCCCTTAATACAATTTTCCTCGTTGGTATTGCCATCGCGATCACGTTTATTGAAAAAGAACTCGGTAACTTTCTGATAAAGGAAAATATAGATCTTATAGAAGGAAAGAAGCAAGAAACGTGTTACACTGAAATCGTCGCGCGCGCGGACAGCATTTAAATGCCCGAGTCGAACCGGCGCTTTCCTCTTCTTAGAAACTTGGTTCATAAACTGCAATGCGATTAACTGGCGCTATCAACGTGACCAGGACATTCTGCCTCGAAGGTGTCGCGAGAAAACGCGAGAAACAACGGCGATGTCCCGGCTATAATGCGAGCTCAACGTATTTCCCCGACGCCCAACTTCCAGGACGAACGGCCGACATCCGGAGGCGGATGCATTTCTCTACAACTTGGTAATTGGCTTAGAACGGGCCTTCACCTCGCGAAATTTCTCTCGTTGCACAGTAGAAACCTGTACACTGCACTCGTACATTAGTGGAGAATAATCGTGGTCGCGCGACAGCGGATAAAGGTTGCGCGAGTCATAAGTGCAAGTCCAACAGTTTCTCGTGATACTCTTCTTTTACATCAAAAATTGAGCTTGAGTATTAACTTTTTTATAGGTTCGGCAACTTCCAGTAATTCCTATAAACAATAACTCTTGTACACAGAGAGAATTTTCTTGTCAAATTTATCCTGAAAATTTTATGTAATCATGAGACAACGCGATGCCGGTGAAGTTGGCATATCATTTCCCAGCAGATCAAAAATAAAATGGAGTCCTTATCGCATGCAGTCGAGTTCTGTAGTTCTTGATACCTTTTAAAAATAGTTCTGTTGATTTAAACCAAAAAACAGTCGATCGAGAAAATGATCTGCTAACTTCCCGTAGCAGATCATTTTCTAACAGATCAAAAAAAAAGAGAGTTCTTGTCGCATGCAGTCGAGTTCTATAGTTCCTGATACTTTTTAATAATAGTTCTGTTAATTTAAACCAAAAAACAGTCGATCGAAAAAATGATCTGCTAACTTCCCGTACCAGATCATCTTCTAGCAGATCAAAAATAAAAGAGAGTTCTTATCGCATGCAGTCGAGATCTATAGTTCCTGATACTTTTTAATAACAGTTCTGTTGATTTTATACAAAAAACAGCCGATAGAAAAAAAAGATGTATTTGTCATAACACTAAGGCGCTGACGGATTTTCGATAGTTCTACGAGTTCTAAACTATTTCTCGTGTAGTTCTGAACACATTTATTCATTTTTCAAAGAATTTTAGGCAGTGGCAAGTCTCTGTTATTTTTTAATAAATCTTAATCCCCGAAGATCACCTTTCTAAGCAGATAAGTGTGCTCTGCTGATCGGAAAGTCGGAGTTCCAGTCCTTCTAAAATATTTTTCGTATAGTTTTGAATATATTGATTCATTTTCAAAAGAGTTTTAGACAGTGGCAAGTCTCCGTTACTTTGTACTTTGTACCGTTACTGCTTCGAAATGGATTTTTCGGAGATTATGAATTTATTAAAAGTAGCGGAGACTTGCCTAGAACTCTTCGGGAAATGAATATATACATTCAGAGCTCTAAGAGAAATATTTTAGAAGGACCGGAACCCCGACTTTCCGAGCAGCAGAGCACACTTATCTGCATGCTTAAAAATGGCTTTTTCGGGGATTATGAATTATTAAAAAGTAACAGAGACTTGCCACTGCCTAAAATTCTTTGGAAAATGAATAAATGTGTTCCGAACTACACGAGAAATAGTTTAGAACTCGTAGAACTATCGAAAATCCGTCAGCGTCTTAGTGTTATGATAAATACATCTTTTTTTTCTATCGGCTGTTTTTTCTATAAAATCGCCAGAACTATTATTAAAAAGTATCAGGAACTATAGAACTCGACTGCATGCGACAAGAACTCTCTTTTATTTTTGATCTGCTAGAAAATGATCTGCTACGGGAAGTTAGCAGATCATTTTTTCGATCGACTGTTTTTTGGTTTAAATCAACAGAACTATTCTTAAAAGTATCAAGAACTACAGAACTCGACTGCATGCGATAAGAACTCCATTTTATTTTTGATCTGCTGGGAAATGATATGCCAACTTCACCGGCATGACAACGCTGCACTTCAAAGAATTTTATGAAAGTTTTTGAAATTTTACACTACAGTTTTAGCAATTATACTTAATATATATTTTACTAGTAAAATGTATACTAAAATTTTATAAAGATTTTCGAAATGCCGTGTTGTCCCACAATCACATGATTTTCAGGATAAATTTTAAGCGAAAATACTCTCCGTGTACAAAATGTAATGAGCAAAATTTAAATTGAGCTAGAGAGTACCTGCAAAAATATTGGTCTTGGTAAAATAAGATTTCTTGTTTGTTCTATTTTTCTAAATTCCAATTTTCCGTCCGTTTTGCTCTCTTTTATGTCTATTAAGTAAGAAAAATTAATTATTCATCTTCCATCGAGGAAAACGGTGTCACGATGTTTCTCCGCGCTTGAGAGATCGATTCGAAGTGTACTTTCGCCTGGAGATTCTTCATGTAAAATTTCTGCAGGAGCGACGAGTCGTAGAAGCTCTCGATATCACTGATCCCGTGATGAATCGCGGCCTCGGTTTTCGTCAACAATAGAGAATTCCAGGGCGCCCATTCGTGCTCGCGTCGGAAGCGAGTTAGTCTTAGCTCGTCCAGGTCGTCGCACTCGGAGATGCCCGACCTACCATGCCAGACTTTATTCACTAGGCGACAGATGACTTTGGCTCCGACCACGAAGGCCAGACTGCCGTAGCAGCCCATTCGGGCTTCAAAGCGTCTGACTTCCCATAATATTCTCTCGTAAGGTTCGTACACGACGCGAGGACCTTTCCGGGTTCGCATGGACGTACAATAGACGCAAGAGGAGGAGCGTAATCGACGCTCGCGGGGAAACTTTTCCAGAGACAAGAGCCTGCCGCAGGTCCTGCAGAGACGCGTGATGCTGGCGTTTGACCAGTCGAACAGATGCGCGTCTTCCTCGACATCGCCTGAGGGCGGACAGAAATTATTCATTAATATTTAAAGACTAATTTTAGAACTTTAGAACTTTAGTGATTAAGCTGCTAATCGACCATGACTGGCGATGTGTTTTTAACACAGAAAATTTATTGCGAAAACTATCACCTCAGCCAGGGTTTGAACCTGGACCTCCCTACACTCTAGGCGTCTCACCAATAATACACCTAGTCCGAATAATGGTGTCCAAGTGGGGGGAGGGAAGGGAACAGGAATACTTAAAAATCGCGTTTCGATAATGTACTGTGTACAACCGACAATCCGCATAGGTGCGCAGTTCACAAAAGTCGAGAATATACGCGTAGACAACAAGTATACTGTTATTGCGACAAATATTATCATATGCCTCGGTGGTCCAATTGGTGAGACGCCCACCTAGAGTGTAGGGAGGTCCAGATTCAAACCCTGGCTGAGGTAATATTTTTCGCAATAAATTTTCTGCGTTAAAAACACATCGCCAGTCATGGTCGATTAGAAGCTTAATCATTGTTAATCATTTGCTGGCGTCAAATAATTCTCGATGTTATTTTAGAATTTTAAAAACTTTAGAATTAAAAAAATAGTTTTGCATACATAAGCTTTTCAACTGGTCGCGTTTGTATTTGCTGTTTTTAATGAATTGTTTAAAGAAAAAAATCATTTCCGTCATAGACGAAAAGATTGAGAGACCTTGCAGAGCATTGCGCACCAGCCTGAGGAAGCTCAGCTTCAGTCGATTCCTGAGCCAATTAAGTCTGCTTGTGTCCACGCGACGCATTAAAAGGTCCAGCTCTTGGTCGACCAAATAAACGAGCTCGTTCGATTGGCTGCACGTGTGCATATCGGCGATGTGTTTCAGGTCGTGCAATAAGTCCACCCGTTCCGGGATCGATAAATTCTCGTTGGACAGTGAGGCGTAAACATTCCTGTGCTGGCGAGCTCGCTGAACACGCAGGGTGTCCACCAGGATCGGCCGACCCCGACTGTCCTGCCAGGCGATCGGTCTGGACAACTCGTCCAGAAACCTATGTCGCTTCTGTTCCCTATACTTGAGACGGACGGCAGTCTTCATGGAGTCTATAGCGCGCAACAATTCGACCTCCTTTGACAGGATCAGGCCGCAGGTGGCGACCCTCGATGACCCAAGAAGCGTGAGACTCGCTCGCTCGGTCTCGAGGATTCGCCAGCGGTCGAGGAGATTGTGGAGCGACTCGAAGTCTGAGCTCGTACGCGCCGGGCAGCGATTCAATATCACGAAATCCGTGCCGCTATAGGCAGACAGCACCTGAGAACGTTCTGCATGCTCGATCACGTTCGCTTCGTCATATCGAGCAACATTAGTCACTTCGAGAGCGTCCATTCTAGCCGCCACTCTGGCTCGATAAGCCCTGCGAATCGATAATTGCTTTGAATTTATTGATCGCAATTTTCGTCCTAATATACCTATGCACCCTAAAAGCAATAATACACGGAGAGAATTTTCTCTTAAAATTTATTTGGACAATTATATAATTGTGGGGCAACGCGGCATTTCGAAGAATTTTATGAGAGTTTTTCGAAATACTTATTGTTGTATACTTACATGTATACATTTTATGGCAAAATTTCAAAAAGCTCGCATAAAGTTCTTCAAAATGCCGCGTTGTCCCACGATCACATAATTTTCAGGATAAATTTTAATAGAAAATTCTCTCCGTGTATTACTCGAATACTCCGTACGTTTAGACAATGTACTAAGGATCCTAATGTATCGGGAACACCCATGCAATATTTGATACTTTGCAATATTCTCAGAATCTACATGAGCTGTTGGGGAAATGTATTTTTCCGAAGTAAATTATACAAATGCAAATTCTTTTCGTTTAACTCCGCGTCACTTTTACATTGTTCCAATAAGAGTCCAGAAATAATTAGAGAAATACTGAAAGTTATACTTTTTTGTTCATTTGAAAGTCCTTTCTATCGGGTTGGTTGTTCCAACCTCTTGATAAGTTAACTAATAGTTAAATCGTATGCGTGTCTTTGTTTTTCCTTTAAGGTGGCTCCTGCATAAACCGACCAAAAGTAGAAAAACTTGAAATTAAAGTATGTTGTAGTTATAAATTTTATCTATCAGTACGCGAAATTTCAGACCCGGTCGCCGATGAAATAAAATGAAGGAAAAATGTTAAAGTTGTATTTTTTAACATTCCAGTAAACACCAAGTAACAGTTACATAATATCAATATTGTAATTTCCTACTCAACAAGATAAATATAATATAACATGGGTGTTATATTACATTTACATTGTTAAGTAGGAAATTATAATATTGATATTATATAACTATTATTTGTTGTTTACTGTTGAACGCGTTTCGATGTCAGCCACCTCGTACGTAGTGAGCAAGAAAATAGGTAGTTTAAAACACTGCTACCACCGAAATCTCAGAAGATATGACCTTTGGATGACATTTACTTCAAAAACTTATTTTTCCCCTTCAAATGCAATAACTTTTCCATATGACATTTTTCTATATAATCAATAATAACCAAATTATTCGGGGTGGCAGAGTTAAATGGACCACCCTGCATATACAATATTTATAGAATATCCGATTAGAATATTCTAAAATTAAGAATATTTGCACTCCAGAAAAATATTCATAGAACTACATATGTGTGCTATCTGGGTAAATGTATCAAATTAGCACATGCACTGAACCTCTTATTCATAAAATCCATGATTTTATCCATGACACACATCTCAGTATTTCAACAATCGCTTCTAAGTTGTCCCAACAATTTAGAGTTTAGAAATTATTACGGAAATATAAAAAAAATTGTACTTTCGTTAGTTTAGACAGTCTTGTGTCAAATTAGCACATAAAAATTACAAATATCTTAGTCGTAGCAGAAATCACTTACCTATAACATCTCTGTATTTTAACGACGCTGTCAAGAATTCGATTAGTATCCTGACAGGATAACGACTTAACTTCTTCGTCAGACACGGGCATCCCGAAGGAAGAGATTCCAGGCGCGACAATTCTGTCGCGTATGTCGGGCAAAAACTGTATCGCGTCCACCTGCACAGCCTGGTCGTGGGCGACATCGGTGACCGTGTCCACGACCGCGACGGTCTGCGTGATCCTGCTCCTCGTCCCGCCGCTGCGTGTCTGCGTGCAGGCATTATGATAGATCAGGCCGGTAACGATATTCCTCCATCCACCGAGAAACGGCTTTTGTCCTTGAGCCATAATCGTGTATTCTTGCAACGACCGCCATGGAGCATCAGCGACTATCCCATAGGATCTAACCGCCTATGTCCTACAAGAAAAAAGGTTTCGATCAAGAAAGTCGGGAGACAAGAGCATAACATTGCATTACAATGAACAGATTACGTTCCTTCCCCTATCGGAAATGTAAAAAAAAATGTTAGAACTGTAGAAAAAACTATTAGATTCCAGGTGTAAAAAGCTCTTGCACACATTTGGAGAAATGATACTATTATAATTTCCGATTATGATGCGAAGGTAATACAGTCCTCGCAGAAAACGCTTTAATTTCTCGATAACAATTCTCAGCTTTCACGTGATAATTTTACAGTGCAATAATATTTCGGCATAAATTACGGCGAAACGTATGAAAGCGAGAAATTCCAATGTTTTATAAAATTGTAAAATCAGAGACGACGTTAAAAAAGACAGTTCGATATATGTAAATTATATATTTTAGAAGTCGTATTAATATAAAAACTGAATATTATGATATTCAACGCATTTCACAATGTAATATAAGATTCGAGCAGCTTCCTTGTTTTCAGTTTTAATTTTTTTAGATTTCAGCGAAATAAAATAAAATAAAGATTAGCTTTTTGTTCGCAAAAGAATAAAGAGAAATTACTTCAAGTAGATTTATTCAATTTCTTCAGAGATTATCTGAACATTGTTGAGCTCTTTGCCGTCTCGGTAAATTAGTTTCTTATCTTTTGCGAAACATTGATGGAAAAAATTGGCATTTACATGATAAGAAAATTAAGTTATACGTTGAAAAGAATATACTTCTTACGAGTTTGCGCTTGTGAGTTGTATATAAATTATTTGCGACATTTTAAGATTGTTACTCTGAATCTCTACTTTGTTATGTCTGTAGAACTGATTATTGCCGAAAAGGCATACTGTATAAAAGAAAGAGCTCTTTCGAAAATTAAGAAAAGCTTGAACAAGTTTTGTAATAGCAATTAGATTTTCTTCCTGGAATAAAGTCCAATCCAGATATTCCATATTTTGAAGCACCGTAGATATATCACTTTTCTAAAAGAAGATATAATTAAGTTTTTGATTCGTTTGTAAAAAGATCAACCTTTTTTTGCAATGACCAATTCAATTCTATTCTTCGTGAGGGAACAGACGATACGGATACTTTGCGTCAGCTGTTTTACGATACCCTATTTTCTTTTAGGTTGGTTGAAACAGCTCGCGATCCTTTATCTTCCACATTGTAATGCGATGGTGGCCCACGGGACTTGAACGCCTACGTCCATAGACGAGTAAAAACTCACCAGGTCCAGGTCGAGAAAGTGGAAGGATAACTGCCGTAGCGACCTGACGCTAGGATAATACCCGACAGTAAAGGAAATTACTATTCTCTCAGTTTAAAGGACCTGACATCAAGCTGCAGGGAAACTACGCTAACACCTTGCACTTTTGCACGGGCTTTGTAGAATCGCGAAGGATGCAGTTGTAAATAATCGAAAATTCTGAAATATTTTACCAATATATATTCGAATAATTTCACTTCAATTACATTTTAAATATAATTCTCATTATATTATAAAAATAACAAATATAATTATATTATATTATAAATATAATAATTATAGAATCGTGAAAATAATCTTGAGATTAAAATGTGTGAAATTATCGGAATGTTTCCCGGAGAAGAAGGTAATATTATATTTTCTATTCTCTCTATTGTATCCAGAATATTGTACCCGGAAATTATAATAATATAACAATAGGCACATTTACATAGAGATTTTTAATTAGGTTACATAAAATTGATTTTGCTATATATTGTTTTATATACCGTTTCTTTCGTAAAATATTCATATATATTTGCAATATTCTTGTCAAGAATCGTTTGCATCGTCTGATATCGAACTCTATACTTGCGACGATGCACTCACGTCGTTCTCGGGAAGTATTTCTTTCCCTCTGAAATATTTGTTTTATATATTTGTACGATACGTTATACGAGAGAAATATTCTCCGCAAACTATACATATAAGTAAGATGAAATGATATATATTTCACGATTAAAGAAAATATCGGAACTGTCTGTCGGAACCTCGAGTATCGCATTCTTACTATTTAATGCGACGTGTAAACCTCTTTCAAATACAGTATTTTATAAGCCCATGAATTTATGGGCCTTTTTGGTTTCGCAGTTTGGCTTCTTAGACACTTAGATTTATAGATCCCTTCTTTTGCGGATTCCGTACGTAGCATCTTAGATCTTCGACCTCAACATCTTTCTCTCCCGTTTGAACACTCGAGTCAACATACCTATTTTGTTTCTCTCGTACAGTTTTGCAAGTAAATTAAATTTATTCGATACCGAGTGTTTCTTTAACATCAAAATTAAATTATCCACGACTTGTTGCAGCATAACACTGTCACTTTGCGACGCCGAAAAACGTCTCGCCCTTTGATCTTACGGAATGTCTGACGTGGCGCGGACGGGAACACGGAGGTAACACGAAGGTCTCTCAAAGAGCACGAGCGCGAGGATCTTATTTAGATGCTTTTCCCTCTTTCGCCGCGGCAAAACAAGAAAACACTTTCAGAAACCCCGACGAAGTGAGTAGTCAAAGAGAGGGAAAGGTGCTCGGGCCTGAGGAAGAGTGACTTTCGTCGAACAACGCTCTCGGCGGAGCAGCACGTGCCGTAGCGACGACAATTTGCGGGCAATAATTATGAAAGATGTTTATTCCGGACGAGGGGAATGAAAAGGAATGGAAAGAGGGTAGTCGACAGGCCCGAGTCGCGAGAGTCGCACCTGGGTGTACTACTTTCTCGGCCATGTGTCGTGAGTGTCGTGACGTGAGGCGCCGTTTTCTATGTATTATAAATTACACGCGAGATGTGCCGGAAACGGAAGGACGCGGGGTGGTGTTGCTAAGAGACGGCACGGCGCAAGCACGGCGAAACTTTTCCCCGAGATCGTCACCCGCGCGGGGCGAAGAAGGGTGCACGTAATATTTATGCAAAGCAAAGGATATCGGGGAGGTGGGGGAAGAGACGGTGGAGAATTTTAAGTTAGATATAAACGGACGCGAAAGTTTGTCGTCGCGACACACCTTCCTCTCCCCCTCGCCGGAAGTTATGCGCTTCCTCGCAGCGAGCGTAATTCGCCGGTAAACTCCGCGACAAATATGGATAAAACCAGGGAGATTAATGATCGCGATAAACGAAGGAGTTAAACCACTGTCGGGCGAGTGATATTAAGTGCTTAGGCATCGTTAAAATGTTCAGAGTACCTGGGGCTTCATTGCGGCTTTTGTTTTTTAATCATGGCCGTTGTAATCTTTCTTCCATCTAAAGACAGATTGTATTAATGGGCTCGATTGCAGACAGCTTCGATAACCAGCTGGCTGCGTAGCGACCACTAATGGACTACTTTTGCTCGGCATTTTTTTTTTTGGACGTAAAAGCCCACAAATTGCTTTAACTTACACGAAAAGAGTTTTCTCTTACAATTTACCCTGAAAATCGCGTAATCGTGAGACAATACGGCATTTTCAAGACCTTTTCGAGAGTTATGTGAAATTTTACTATACATTTTACCAGTCAAATGTGTGCAAAGTATCCCTAGTAGCACAGTGCGTTGACTAAACATTGGCTAAACATTGGCCCAATGTCGGTTATGTATATTAGAAATGCGTTGGCCGATATTGCCCAACGTAAAGCCAATATTGGTCATGGAATAAATGTAAACATTGCACGATAATAATTATATGTATAATATTAGGTTAATATTGTGCATTTGCCAATATTTAACAATGCAATAAGAATATTAGCCTAATATTGATACAATATTGTTGAATAGACATATTGGCTAAATAGGGGGAAGCGTCCATGTTACAATATTGGGAATACTATAATATATTTACATTATTTCCCAATATTACGCCAATATATTGTACTACTAGGGATAATTACTAGTAAAATGTATGGTGAAAATCATGTAATCGTGCGACATGGCATCTCGAAGAATTTTATGAGTTTCCTGAAATTTCGCCATACATTTTCTAGTAAAATGTATGGTGAAAATTATATAATCGTGGTACAACATGGCAGTTTGAAGACCTTATGAGTTTTAAATTTTACCATACATTTTACTGGTAAAATGTATACTAAGTATAATTATTAGTAAAATGTGTAGTAAAATGTCACAAAATTCTCATACAGTCCTTCAACATGCCACATTGTCCCACGATTATATGATTTTCAGGGTAAATTTTAAGAAACAATTCTCTCCGTGTTCTTTAAATTTACTTGCAATATCCATTAAAAGAGTCAAGAGTAAAGTATTTTACATCGGTGTTATATAAACATTAACTTGGCTTGTAATAAACCTTCTATAATCCGGGGATGTTAAGGAAATATAATACGCGTGTAAACGCGTTTCTAGAATTTTCATCTGTAGAGCTCTGTAAAGTGTCTGAATGTACAGCGTTTCAAGGGGAACGAGAGAAAAGGTTTAGTGAGGTACGAAGGATTTTTGATGGAAAGCTGAATTTTATGAAGTAACCGCGCCTCCCAGCGCACCCACATTGGTAATCGATCGAACGGAAAAATGGTTTCGTATTACGAAGGGGCTAATACTTCTTTAATAATCTGACCAGCCGTGCGCTTTTACACCGGAACTCCGCGACGAAGAAACAAAAATAAAATAACGGGCGGAAATCGCATTTTACACGCAACGCGTAATAACGTATCGGCGTAACCGCGCCGCGGCTTTGTTAGCGCAATGACGAAAGAAGAGAATAAACAAACGAGTCGATCGATCGGCGCCGCTCGTGAATGATTTCGCAGCAAGAAACTGGTTTCGACGGGGAGCGCGCGGCGAGCGTAGACCGCGGGCGAAGTAATTAACGCAAACACAGCAAACGCAAAGAAAAAGAGCGCGCGTTTTGCGTTTTTGTAAGAGCGCGGCCCTTAATTGGACGCCCGAGAAGCACGAGAGCGTCAATGATGATCGGAGATCCGAATTATTACGGACAATCGTTACATCCGTCCGATTTAATTGCCGCGCGCTGCAATTACTTGCGGCGCATAAATATTGATGCATTTCGTATTTTTGTCGATGCTCTCATTTATTACAAAGGCCGTCTGCTCGATTTCCTCTCTGTCGTCCGACTGTGAATTCGCAATAAACACTCGAAATAAATACCCTCGGAAAATTGGCGACTTACCGAGGGCAACGCCAAGTACTTTGCACGCTGCACAATGTCACACGGGAGGGAGGGGGTAGGCACTTGGTAATTGAAGCAAAATCGCAAAAAAAGAACTCTTATAGCGGTTTGATAATTTCAGTACACGGTTTTTCCACGCGTGACGCATTTATTAATATTACATTATCGTCCGTTACAAGCCGGGAAGGTGCTTTTATCGCCGAGCGATTGCATTCGGCGAAAGATTGAACGATTTAGCCGGATTAAACTGAGTTGGCGCGCAAAGTAGCGCGCGTCGTCGATCAAATTTTGACACTCGCGATCCAGAGGGATATAAGTAGATCGCGTCGAAGAGCAGCTTTTAATGCGACCTACGTACTACTCCCGTGTGCGAGACTCCGCAGCGCGCCGCACCTGAAAGCTCAAAGCCTTAAATCCAACGTTGCCAGTGGCAACGTGCTTGGTCGATCGGTCAAAAGCCTTCTCTTGTCCATTATTTTTCGATTTTGTGTTCCCTCCGGTTCAAAAGCCTCCGCGACGGATATGAATTCAGACTGGTGTGCGGCGGGCATTATGCGCTCCGGGGCAGAGAATTTTCGACGGCATTCATACATCTCCGCTTTCAGAGCGTTTCTCCGCAAGATGCATATATAACGCATTCGAGGCAAACGTGCGCCTTAAAACCTCGAGTGTATCACGTCTAATACGCTTTCGCGACGTACGCTCCGGCGCTTTTCTTAATCTCGCTCGTTCAACCGAGCTTTTTCGGATTTCGATTTCGGCGCGAGCCCGTTTCAAAATGTCGCGCGACAATTAGCGCGCCTCTTCTATCCTTCGTTGAAATTTCCGCCCGAGCGAGTCGTCGCGCCGAACGTAAGTCGCTTCGAGGTATTCGCCCACGGGTGCAATTAACGGTAGCGCGGCCGATATTTGCAATGCAAGTGTATACGTATAAGCCAGATTGTGTTACTGCGATAAAGTGATACGATAGCGGATAGTGCCGATTCTGGAGCAGCGAACAATTTATATCCCGTTACGCAATAACTTTTATAGCGCAAAAACCGCCGCTATCGCCGTCGGTGCACTTTCCTTACGTAAAAGCTTTCACTATCGCCGGTTGCATCCGAGCAATATCGCTCGATTCTCGGAGCCACGTTGCATGTACGACGGCCGTAAAACATTTTCTACCATTTCTCCGGGGACTTGAACAATACGTATTGGCAGTTGAGAAAAATTCATATAGGTACTTCTTAATAGTAAACAGATATACGAGAGACGCGCATAAATATTAAAAGTACACACACACACACACACACACACATTGCCGGAATAATGTGTAAGATCTAATTAATTTTATCAGCGGGCGTGTATCGTTTCTTGAAATAATTTATATAAATAGATCCCAGTAAGCAACAACTAACCCCCTGGCGAAAATTTTAAGTGAGAGATGAGGTTTATATTTATTTATGTAGAGTTTTATCGATAGTTGCATTGCTTATGAAGAGTTTTATTGACGGTTACACCGCTTGAAAGTACGTTGCAAACACCTGGTTAATTCTTTACTGACAATAACGTTTACAAACACTTAGAAAACTGTAATGGAAACGTTCGACATTGTATCATTAAACGCAATTTGAACACTTCCCAGACAGCACACATGTCTAAAAGACGTCATAAAGGTATTTTTAAAACATGTACGTCTTAAAGATGTCTTAAAGATATCTTTATGATTATTTATGTTTAAATTTATATCTTACAAACAATTTGATAAATGTTTGAAAACTCAAATAAAACATTGACTCAACATTTAAACAAACTTCTTGTAAACATATTATTTTTGCCAGGGCGGTTATATGACATCAATGTTATAACTTCCTACTCAACAATGTAATTGTTATGTGCAACTCATTACATTTTTATTGTTGAGTAGTAAATTATAATAACAATGTTATGTAATTATCGGTTGGATTTTACTGGAGTACACACACACAATAAATATACAATACTATATTATACAGCACAATATCTCTTATGACATGCAACAAACATAAATAAAATCTTACAATTAGTAAAATTGAAGCACTCTTTAGACGTAAATAAATTTTAATAATGCTCGCCACTGTTCACTTTATATAACTTCGTTATACGTTAAAATTTTTCAACAACCATGAGTGCTTCTTGTTAATTAATAATAGTAATAACCTTTATTGTTCGCCTTAGAGTTACATTATTAATTATTAATAATATATTTTTTCTCATTCCGATACATGATTCAGCCACAATAAATTTCGAAATAATAATTGGAAACATTTCTAATGACGGATGTACGTATTATTATAAGATTGGTAAAGAGTATGAATTAGACACGAAAAGAACTCTTATTTGTTAATAAATATTTAAAAATATTAAATGTCTCCAACCATTTCCCAAATGGACTATAATCCATATACTATAAAAATATATCAAATTTAGTAACTTTTGCTTCATTCGCTTTATTTTGCCGTTTCTCTCTTTACGAGTTTATGTGTGGATAAACCGCACATTTTATTTAAACAATATTTGGTCGAATAAAATACAGCGAAATCTGATGAAAGAATGAAACTTTTGTGTAACAAGAGTTTATTAAATTTCTGACCAATCGCCATACCAATATATAATTCGTAATAGCAATGAGTCGATATGTATACATTAAAATTGATTGAATTGAATGAAAAATATGTTACGAAGGGATTTAACCGTTTATTAAAACATTTAAAATATTCACGAAATGTGGCGTGATGCAATTCTTTCTCATAGTTTGTATTTTTTAGATGGGTCGTAATTCTCCACAGTTACTGGTGGTTTATACTTTATCCCATTCTGAATCTCTGAGAAGCGGCAAGACTCCCGGAAATCTTTTTCGAAAATAATCAGCTGTCTGAAAAGAGGAACGTCATTATATACTATTCTGATTATAAAAACGTATAAATTGAACAAAAAAAAGCGTTGTATGTACGCACTTAAAATAATTCTTTGCAATCCGATGTCTCAAATCAATTTGACTTATCAAATGCTTCGAATATATCGTAGCGAAATCATTAATGTAATAATGTACATCGGCTTCGTCCTTCGTCAGAAGAATGCAATTCCAAGGCGCCCATTCGACATCCCTCTGATATCTGACCATTCTTAGAATAAAAAGATCTCTAGTCTTACTGACTGCCGATTGGCCTTGCCAAATGTGATTGATTAAGTGATAGATATCCTGCTCTTGCATCATAAACGCCAAAGCAGAAGCGCTGCCCAGACGTTCTTCCTCAGCTCGCACGCAATTTAGTATAAACGTGTAAGGATCGTAATCCACGTGCGCAATATTACGCCGACTTAGAGAACTGCAGCCTTAAAAAAACATATCTAATTAGTTTCACCAATTTAATATTTAATTTTGAGAAATCAGAATATAAAAAGTAAAAGTCTTACCAACACACATTATTAGATAAAGGGTTTTATTTAGACTGTGCTTGTTACTTACTCTTGCAAATTGATAGCTTTTTCATTCTGGTATGTAATAAAAATGTACGAATGGGGAGAAGCCTTAAACAACTCCGACAAAATTTAGTTTCTGTTTCTAAAGGTTCGCGCAATTCGTTGTCTTTAGAATCCTCAGTGACACATCCGCAAATTCCATGCATTCTCACAAAATTCAAATAGCTATCTACAAAAGTAAAGCATGGCTGTTAACGTTAAAAAATATTAAGTATATGTTGTTTAACATTTGAATCAAGTAAAAAGATTCTAGGAAAGTTTCTAAATAATTTTAATTCCATTTCCTTCTCTCACTCTAATGAACTTGTGTCAAATAAAATTCATGAAGTTACTGACTTTCCCTTTCTTTCAAATTATATAATATTTATCATTCTTGAAGTTTAGAAATATGTCAGCGCATTTTTATGATGTATATTGTTAATTAAATTATGATAATAATAATCTCATTAACAATATATAAATTGATATTATTATTATATTGTCAATAATTAACAAGTACTATTGTTAACAAAAATAGTCTACTGGCAGCATCTATGATCTTTTAAATTTTCGTTATTCCATCAGTATATTATTATTAATAATTATATTATTATTCAATATTAATAATCTTACGCGTTATTCTTTCGTTTAAATAATCGAGCGATAGGCCCTCAATCTTTCGATTTAACAACGCAATCTCCTGATCCAGCAAAGACAAAAAGTCAAGTGCCTCGACACAATTGTGCATCTCAACCGATTCTTTTAATGTTATCAATAATTTCATCCGTTCCTCCGAATTAATATCGCGATTGTCCAGTGCGTTATAAATTTCTTTGAATTCCCGAGCCTTTTGAATTTTCACAGTGACCATCTCCACGAGTTTTCCTTTGTAACCGTGCCATCTTATTGGCTTGCAATTCACTGTTAAAAATCTGAGAGCCCTTTGTTTCCGGTGTAATCTCTTGATCGCTTGTTTATGTTTATCGATGTGATTAAACATCTCCACCGTCTTTTCTAAAATCCTGTAATTCTCGGCACGCTGGCCTGCCTTGAACAATCGCGTTTTTATGTCCGTCAAACGATCGGTTCTCCAATCTTCAACCAGACCGTAAAGCATGTCAAAGTCCGCTCTCGATCGCGGATATATTTGACGAAGAATATTCTGCTTGTGCCGCAATCTATACGAAGGATATAATACGCGAGTTTATGGTGCGAATAATGTGCAATAAAACTGTCCCGAGCGTCTTCGAAAACTCCTGTGAACAAAATATATTCCGCGAGAAAGAATACGAAAAAAATTACTTTGATCATATTCGTGAAACTGCAAAGAATTTTTTATCTTTCTGTTTCCAACAATTTCTAAAGTATGTTCGAAACAATATTTTAGGTTTATTTCTCTCTTCAAGCAGATATTCTTTTAGCAGAAAATGATTTCTTATTAATGTCAATTAAACTTTTGCTTCAACAAAATTGTGATTTAAAATTTTGTAATTGTAAGTCCCGTACAAGTGCAATAAGATTAAAGGTAAATTTATTTAGGATAAGATTAAATAATGTATAAATGTAAGTACAAAATAAGCGCAATTAGGAAATGCAGTAAGACTAGTCGTAGCAAGGAATGATATGAATATTAATGTAGCAAGGAAGGATGCACGAGTGCAAGTAAGAGTGAGTTAAGAATCTTTCCCAAGTAGAACAAGTTGATCACAAAAACGTCAATGACATTAAAATGATGAATTTTACATCATAAAATGATCGACCTCAAGATTTACTTTGCAATGACTGATTTATGACATGCTGTTTTATGATATTCGTAATGTGTATAATAATTAATATATTATTACAGATTACATGATTAGTCATATATTATGTTTATCTTATATTACTTTAATTTACTTTTAATGTATAATATTTAATTAACTTTGCTTTGTAAAACATGATCATTTTTACAACATTTTGCTTAATGACGTCACAAATAGGTGCTCTCGGTGGGCTATTTCGACGTCACCATAAAAAATGATCAAAAAATGATGCCACCTTGATGTTTTCATGACTAATATGTTCTACTTGGGTTTGTAAACCACGTCCACTTCCCAGTGAGAAATGATTCGTCGATCGACGTCGAAATGATGTCGAATCGACGCCAATTCGACGGTGTCGATGTCGATTCGACGTCGTCGTTTCGACGTCGATCGACGAATCATTTCTCACTGGGTTCTTGGCTATAAGCCGAAGTTAATAAATTGATTGATGTAAAGTTTTGTACATTTAAAAAGACGATTAATAATTTAAATATGAAGATATAATTTTGCTGAGAAAAATAAAGTATTAAAAAATATAATCAAAAGAAATACCAACGATCTAATACACTCCAGAGATAAAATTCACTAGTAAACTAAGCACTAGTGAATACAAACTTATCGTATAAGTTAATTATCTCAATTATTTTTAAAAATCTGATAGTTATTCTTTATTACTATAAACACAGATAAAAATATAAATTATATCGTATTTTAATAAAAGTTTTAATAAACGTTTTCCCTTTCACCCTGATTAGTTCATATTATAGCTGAATTACTTGTTTGCAATAGCTTTTTCTTCTTCATAGCTTTTACATTTCTCAAGCATGTCGCGATAAGCTAGCGCGCATTCCTTGATGTATTTCCTCCACCTGTATGCTCGGTAATTTCTCTGAATTATACGCGCGTGCCGATCTAAATTGAGTCGTAAGTGCATGTCGACGTAGCTCTCATAAGACTTTACAGTCTTGTATTTATCCGCCTCGTTGGGTACATAATAGTCATCTCTAAATTGATAGTGTGGAATGTTTAATTAGTACAATTTACAATCGTTATATTAATTTTTATAAATATTATAATTTTTCCAAACGCCATACCTTGACTTCAAACTATTGGGAATTTAATATATAGTATACTTGGATACTTATTTTAATTTATTTTTTGCAGAATTATTGTATAGTTTGTAAGCTAATAACGCAGCTAAATTAATATACAAAATTTTTTATTAAAAGAATGATAGAAAATAATTGTGGTTTTACAATTATAAAGGTTATGTAAAATTGAATTTTATTTTTATGTTAATGAAGAAGGCCTTTTGTTTTAATATTTAACGAGTAATGAAATTTTCAATATTTTCTCTCCATTTCTCAATAATCGACGCAATAATTTGTAACTAATTACATATTGTTTTACAAATATTATAATAATATAAGAGAATATAATGTTATTAATATTATTGCATTTAATATGCTATCTCCATAATGTGCAATTAGATGCTATGTACTTTGGAGAGAATGGACACGTCATATAAATTTATTTAAATATTTAGTACCGCCACATTTGCGTTGCACGATGACGCAGGGACTGTGTCGCTCCATCATTCGTTTGCGCACATTGCACTGCTCTGCTACATATATTCGTCCGCGGTCCTCGCTTTGACAAAGGTCCGGTCTGCGAAGTTGCATTTACATATTCTACTCCGGTAATTTTATGTCGCCATCCACCCAGATAAGGCTTGAGGATCCTTTGCTTTTCCATTCCAACCGACAAGATTGCAATGAATAGTAGTTACTTTTTTCCTCTTTTATATCAATAGTAAATTGTTTTTTCTTTATTTATATCGATATAGGAAATTTTATAAACATACTTGGCATCATACACATCCTAACTCCTCTAGAGAAACTTTTTTACATTAAGATTCTAATCGCATATACATATGTTACATTTACTGGATTTCAAATATGACATGTTCGTTTTACTAACATAGATTAAGTTAATATATAACGAAATACATTAACATAATGTACTAATATATTAACATTAATGTTGATATGTAAGAAAAAATTTATTGTACATTTTCTTTGTAGGTATAGCGCTTCATTAGTTTTATTTTTTTTAAAAGCAGTTAAATGAAACTTTATTCAATTACAGTATATCAGCAAACATAAAAATTGACATTTTTTACGAAGAAAAACAATACCGCAGGAATACTTTTACAGTTGAATTCGAGATATAATACTTAATTTAAAAATAAAATTCCAAGACATTAAATGATATCATTAAAATGATGTACGAGAAAATTGTATCTGTTTGAGATTTTTATCACTTCCTACATTGCTGTATATTTACAACTCATATTGATTTGCAATTCTTAAGACTAGTACATTTATTCATAATATTCATAATTTTTTTTAGTTTAACGTGTACGATGACCTACATAACCAAGAAAACTTATATACAAATATTATTTCCTTCCAAGAGCAAGGCTACACAGAAATAGCACCAAATGCATTTAAGATTTACAATCAATTTGAAGATTTACAATTATGTTCAAACAAGGAAGGAAATGTATGGAACAAAGAGACCATTAAAAAATATCTAAAATGAAAAAAATTGAATTAAAGATAGATATTTTTTCACATTTTAATGAATCTGAAATAAATAACATGTTCTTCGTATTGTGAAAAGAAGTGATAGATATGTAATTTAAGTTATTTTAATCAAAGGAAAATGCCGATGACAAGAAAAATCGAAAACTGGTGGTTCCTTGGTGTCCTTTTTGTGTCCGTCAGCTAATAGTTTCAGCACCACAAAATTTGTCTTTGCTACTTTCAATAAATTGTTGATCTACAAAAACAGAAACAATCAAATATGTAGTAAAAATAAATATTCCAAAATAGTTCTATCATGCAATTATAATTGATATTCATAAACTTACTTCGCTTTCTATTAAATTATTTGCTGGATAAAGCAACAATGCTCGTTCCAACATATTTCTAGCTTGATGAAAATGTCGACAACCGGCAACGTATTGCATTTCACTGGTAACTTTTTCCTACAACAATAAAAGTTACTCAAATTATAATTTAGTTTTATTTAAAACATTAAGAACAACATTTATAGTAGAGCAATTTCTATGTATTATCACTTAAGAGATATAAAACGTAATTAAACATTGGACTTACATTTCTTTTATGCATTTGCGCATTTGTCATATCTAGAAATTCTTGATAATGAACGGGCGGTGGCGTTAATAAAGATGAAAACGGCAATAAACGATGCTCATATCTCACTCGCTCAGAATCAAACTGTATCTCTGGAAGCGGAATTTTTTCATCCATGCGAAAACCGACTAAAGCCTGAAAATTTTATCACTTGTTTATTATGCACCGACAGCTCTGTTTCTGATTTGCAAATTATTCTTAAAAGCGTATATGATTTACTTTATAATATCCGCCACATATATTCTGCAAAGCCTGGTACATTAATATCTCCAAATTGTACGGCCTTGGCGTCGATTTCTTCTTTTTATTCTTAGAGCTCTTTTTGCTTCTACCCTTATGAGTATCATTGTGTACGTCCTGCTCCATCAAGAACGTATCAGCTCGCGTAATCGCAGATACAAGCCAGCCATATAGAAATTCATACAGATACCAAAAGATGTAGTGGTATTCGTGCACCGAATATAACTCGAGTTCGAAACCACTTAATAGATACATGACCATCACACGCAGCGTGTGATATAAAATCCAGGTACCAAAGCAGGCCAAGTGAGGCCTTGGCGTATCACTTTTTAAAGATAGAGTGTGCAAATAGCCATCAACTCTTTCCGCCTAAAGTAAAACATGTAATTCAAATCTTAAACTTATTACTATTTTATTTAAAAAAACATACTTTATTTAAAATGCTAAAATGATCTAAAGCAGTGATCCTCCCAGTCAATAATTTATATTTAAGCTATATTATTGTGCATATACACTGTCTAAAAGATTCTGAGATTCACCAGCGTTTCGAATGTTCGTTTTTTTTTATAAGACTGTTGTACTCGTCATGATATTAGCTGCGTTCGGCATTGCAAATCCGAGGCGTCGGAGTGCTCTTCCTCCCTTTCTATCTCATTCTTCTCTCTCGCTCACTCGAATGCAAAAAAGCACTCCGATGCCTCGAATCTGCAATGCCGAACGCAGCTATTGTCGCTTTGCAACGCGCACTGCTCATAAATTTTGTTTTAAAATTCAAAAAGGTCAACTAAGGCCTGTAATTTGAAACAAGTGTACGGTAAGGACTTGAATTTAAATTCTGAAAATTCTTTAAATCTGAATATAATCAGCGATCTTAAAACCCCCTATATAAACTTCAAGGAAATCGCAGGAGTTGTGACGATTCAATTAAACGCCCATCACGCCGTAATAAAACGTCGCCGACCCATGGTTCCTATATTTAAAATGCTTGTACTCGTCTATTCTTTCATCACACAAATTTATGGCACTCAGTTTTTTAGCACCCTGTATAACGACTCTGGCTCTCAGTTTATTTTAATTTGACCACATCACTGCTATGTCACAAAAACCTCTTAAATAGGATGAATAAAAAAAATGTGTAGAAAGAAATGCAAAAGTCCCACTAAGAGACTCTTACTTCATCTTGCAGCGTTGCAAAATCTTCCAACAAATGCGCCAATTTGTCTCTCTGTCTTGCCCTATTATGTCCACTAAGCTGCAATAGGTTTACGAATAAACTGACACAATGCGACAGGAAGCTTTCGACGTATTCCTTAGCCTGGTGATTCTGGAGCAACATACTTTTTGGCAACAACACAGGTGGTGCAATGAAATTTCGCGCCGCGTCTCTCAGCACGTCGGTAAAATTGTGCACACCGAATACGCGGTTCGTCGTAGGCAAGTAAACGATTTGTAGCATAGACCTGGACAGTATGCACGGGCTTTGACGCGAGAATTCTAAGAAAAAGTCCTAAAAAGAAATTCATTCGTTTCATACATAAGTCTAGCACTAATAAAGAAATGCTAATTCATCGCCAATTACCAAGGCCGCGTGAAATCCAATATGATTTGTGATCTTGGTAACCATCTTGAATCTGTTTATCAATTCGAATAAATATTCTAAGGCATCTATCCTTGGCTTAATTTTCGTGTATCGAGGGAACGTCGGTGGCAACAATCTTTGATTTACCATCGGATCAAATCCCATAATGTTTGGATGATTAGCTAAAATTGAGGATAACAAATCATGACTTTCTTACATAACAATCTTGCTCTTCATATAAGAAAATGCCAATTTTTCATGAAAATAAAAAGTAACTGATTCTAAATCCATAAAAAGAACTTATAACAAAAGAGAAATATATAAAGTTGCTTGTGTATACTTACAAACTTCATCAGCCTTTTCTCCGCGAGTTACCGTTGTAATCATAATACTAAGCATGTCGGAACAATTCGTTAACAATCTCTGGCAATCACTTAAATTCTGTTGCAACTGCTGCTTCCGGCCCATCAATGTCAGCACTTGATAGAACATCTTAGTAAATCGGATCCTCGTGTAAAGTGCAATTCCGTCATGATACTGTAATAAAATATTACTAATAAAATCGTAGATAACAAAATGATGTTATATGTATGTAGAAAGATAGATAGGAAAGTGTTAAAATTAAAGAATAAGACATACAATCTTAAAATCTAGATCTACAAAAACATTAAAAGTTATAAAGAGATTTACCTCTTTTTCAGACTCGACATCGACGAGTTTTATCCGACTTTTCCGATGAAGCTCCTCTTCAACTTCCCGCAGCATCGATATCGTTTTTTGTTCCGTAATGTCTTGCTGTAATCTGTAGCCATAGGTAACACTCTGAAAATCCTCCTCTTCAAATACCAAGGCTTTATTAATGCAGTCCTTGATTATCTCTATTATCTTGTAGACTGCATAACAGAAGGTCTTCAGAGGCTTATCTAATATTTGCGCAGGCTGATGCAAATATAAGTTTGTAAAAACGGTTTGGGCAAGACTGTGGCCCTCCAACCAAGACACTATACACGCGTACGTGGAATCGATTATCCCAATAATTTCGGCGGGTGTGAAGTTGTCCAATTTTATTGCACCCGAATCGACTGCTTGGGTAAAAGTGCAAGGCTTGTTGTTCCCCCGATTACACAACATGCCAGCATCCATTTTCGGATCCATCATCTCGATTGCAGACATGGCCTCAAATAACCCAAACAGCTCATCGTGTAGTAATTCTCCTAGTTCCAACTCTTGAATACAGAATGTAAAGATATATTGGAGTATTCAAAAAATCATAAA